ACTCCAGTCTTCAGTGTCACATGATCCTTCAGAAATCATTCTAATATGCTGATTTGCTGCTCAAGAAACATTTATTATTTTTTATCAACATTGAAAACTGTTATGGTGCTTAATATTTTTGTAGAAACTGATATACATTTTTTCTGGATTTTTTGAAGAATAAAATTCAAAAAGAACAGCATTTTTTTAAAATATACATTGTACCATAAAATTTATAATTTTTTACTATCACATTTGGTCAGTTTAATGCATCCTTGGTGAATTACAGTATTAATTAATTTTTTTATCTTACTAACCCCAAACGTTTTGTAGTGTTGTGTACAGCGGACAGTGGTAGTGTAAACACACTTGAATAGTTATATATTTCAAACACACATTGTCTTCAATACTCAAATTTGCTTAGTTATGTCTTGTTGCCCAAATAAAAGTAACCATTGTCACCCACCTCATTTGTCCCTGACGGTCTTGTAAGTGCATTTTGGGTAAAACGACCCCTGGGCTTGTGTACATCGCCACAGGCATTCGAGAGTCCAGGTAGGACGACTGCATCCACCAGTCAGTGAGCTGCATCATACAATGATAGCGGGAATAATTGTAATATTTGGAGTAGTTAAAAGTTTAATACACATGCAAAGTAAAAGTACTGTGTACTTAAAAATAAATTTGGAATTGGTGCAGCATCCCATTTTTAACACAAGCCGTCTCTCCAAAGCCCCGCCTCCACAGACATGTCAGCAACATAACATGCAAAATGATTGACACGCCTCTGTGTTATCTGATTGGCTAGCATGCGTGGGCATTTTTTTCATTTGCTGTTTACAAATTTTAGTTACGTGTGATTTCTCAACACACTTGTTTCAGTGATATATCTGTCAGGAACAGGGGTGTTACGTCTGGGTATGCGGGGTATGCACGTGCATATGGGAACAGCATATGTCACTGAGGGGGACCTTTTAATTAAAACGAGGGGCCATATTCTTAATTCGTGGCCACAATATATATATAAATATATATATTTTTTGTCTGCATGTCATATGCACTCTGATGGGCTCACACTCATATGGGCTCTGTCATTTCTTGTGTGCATTTGTTATATTGCTGCCGTAGAACTGCGTCTTTTTTTTTAACTACGTGCAAACGCTGCATTGCCACGGCCAAATAAAATAATAATAAAAAATTAAAAAATTAACTGTGTAAGGATGGCACTAGCTAGCTAGTTGAAAAGACTGTACCACAACTGTATCACATCTAGCTTTAATTATTTGCACTGTTTTAAATTAAACACCTTTCACTGTGGATGAATTTGCCAAAAAAGGCC